GATGAAAACAAAAACATTCAGGAATCTCAGTGAGTGAGTTACATTCATTTGATTGACTTACAGTTAAATTATCTACATTTCTAATTTTAATAAACTATGATGGAATGAACCTTTAGCCAAACCAATTCGTAAATAACTATTTATATCACTTACATCTGTCGCTTATTTATACGTAATATTCCCTTTTTAATAAAAAAATGTAAATTTAATTTCAACTGAATATGTATAGAGAGTACAGAGATAAATATTGTGAAAAATCATTATATATATACAATATCGAATAAAGCCATTAATAATAATAATAATATTATTATTATTTTGTAAGTTTGCATGACCTAGTTCGTTTATTTTCAAAAACTTCCCAACCGTAAAATGTCTTGCTAAATAAACATGTAACGTGATTGTAATATTTAAAAACAACTAAGTGTTCACTGATCAGTTATTCAATGTACAATGTTGTAGATATCTAAAGATTTAAATAATTTGTTAGATGAATAACAACAAACAGAGAATAACAAGTAAAAAAAACAAAATATTATAATGATTATCTTATATTTCTTGTCCAGACATACAAACATTATTGTCAATATTTTTTTTAGAAATTGTTTATTGGGTTAACCAATGTTTATCGTTTCCAACTTGCCTATAAATAAGGAAATATTCAAAACAATGTCTTAAAAACAATAATAATGACATCGAAACCATATTATTCGGAAATTCAGATACAAAATCTCCGTGAATTCTAATTGTATTGAGTTCCATCCAAGAATTTCATCGATGTATGCAGTACTGATGAGTTCAGTTAACATTTATTCGAACATGACTAGTGGCTACATAGTCTGTTTGTATTTATTGTTAAGTTGACTTTTCTTAGAGTAGGGGGTTCCCCATGTCAGATAATGACTCTCCCTATGCTTAAAGTTAGTGCTTTCTAGAAATAGATGACTAATTGACAGTAGTTTTAGCAGACAACCGCTGTTATCTGCTTGCTAAGTTGGTATACCGAAAGTGCCACTTAAGTGAATTTCAACTTGGTTTAAACTATCTATTAATGTACTAAAATCATCTTCCACGATTATGTCTAACGGCTTGAAGATCAAAGCATTTTCGGTATGACCTATATTTCCCTTCAGTTTAACTAGTCACCAAAGGATTGGGGAAAGATGACGAGAAAACACGAGCCTGTGCTTCTATCTTTCCAAATCCCAGGAGAGCTTGTCCTACTTTTGGCCATAAGAAGTAACAGTCATCTCAAATTACAAGAAAAGTTGCATTTGGTCTAGACGAGGTCAGGTGAATGGCTACATTTGGGACCCATATGCAAGCTCGAGAGATCCAACATGTGAGGTTCTATAGTTCCAGGAAATGAAACCTGTTGTCCAATTTGGTATACGATTTAAGCATTGAATGCTCCAATATGTAGCTTGTAGCAGTTTCAATCGACTAGGAATGATATTTCTGGAACTCATATCGTTAGCACTAACCGTGCGTAGAGAAAAGATGAAGCCATAAAGGAGGGGTTGAGAGTATGGATAGAAGAAATATTAAGTCTAGGGATATGATAGTGAACGAAGTGACCTCAATTGCTGTTAGATGTGTGAGTGGTTGTCACTTCCCACTTACCCACACTATAAAAGGACATTTCTTCCTCAAAAAGAAACTGTATTAGTAGTGGTATCGTCAACCTCGGTGGATGAACACAGAGCCAAAAAGATAACTATTTGAGTTTGGTCGGCCAAGCACTATGAACGTTTTTGATCGAAACGCGAAATAATAATTCCAAGTACATTAAATATGAGATAAGACTCATTGTATTGTGCCTCCCCACGGAAATCTTTAGTAAAAGGTGAAAGATACGCAAATGAGACACCAGACGTTACGTCGGGAAATAGAAGCAGATATGAAAAGAATGAATAACAACTGGAAAGAGCTAGAAAGGATTTTCCAGGACAGGGTTGAAAGGAGAGTGCTGGTGGGCAGTCTATGCTCCTCCACGACGAGTAACAGGCGTAAGTAAGTACTTTAAGTATGAACAGGCTAGTACAAACATGAATTCACATTATGGTATAATTCTTGGAAAATTAGAAAGTTATTAGTTTAAAAAATCTTTGAAGGATTCGCTTAGAAAGTATGATTTAGAATACTAGGAACAAAAGATGAAGTCTAAACAACTGAATGAAACAGAAGAGTGAAAAATATTGATTTTAAAACTCAAGATCCACAGAAAAACAGCAAACTTAAAGCACTACAACAGATTTCTGTTCATAGGACTTAAGGGATCTAACAATTGATAAGAATTAACTAATAGACTCTAAGCACAGAATCTACTGTGCTGTGCTAATGCAGTATGGCAACTTGGACCGATGCATATATGTGCCGGATCCTACGTTGTAGCTGACTGACTGACAGCATCTACTCAAACCCAAAGTCACTAACATGATGAACTGATTTCATTTGATCACTCCTAGTCTTCTAACCTACTGCTATGTTAGCCACCACTGTTAATAAGAGATGATTTGGTGTGCGCTACACAAGTCTTAATCATCTTAATTGATAAAGTTTATGGTCACATCAACCAATTTTTATCTTATACATTAAGTCTAATTCCAGAATTACTTAATTCTTCAACCATATGCGAGCATTTCTTCAAAGATACAAAATACTAGCAAACCATGTATGTACTATACTTTCAAAGTGTATGTTGCAAAATTATAGAATAGAATGAACATCTTAATATACATGCTGTTTGGTATCAAGGTGAATATATCGCTTAAACTAAAGGTGTGAAAAGTTAGTTATAATAATAACTTGTCAATCAAGTAATATTATTTCCAGTCTTTATATATTATCTCAAGTTTACTTATCATTGTTGAATTATATTCTTTTTATTACATTTACTTAATAAGTTTTAGCAAATAAAACTTCATTTCAATAAAGTGAAAATAACCAATAACAATTCAACAAATTACATACAATGAAATTTCACTTTTTTATTTGTAAAAACATTCATTCCCAGAATTATAACAATAACAGTAATTATCATTATTTCAATAGTCATATTCATTGTAGATTTTTATTTAATGGTAAAAATAAAAATAATAATAATAATAATTAGTATTATTATTGTGATAGTCTCAAGGATATAACGAAGTCTCTCAGTTATTATCTCTCATTTTGTTGTAAACTTCCTTGTTTAGATTAAATATATAAAAAAATTATAAGAAAAAAACTCTCTTACACACAGAATGAACTTGCTCGATAATAATTCTCAAGTTATTTGTTTCTTAAAGTGAATCAATCAACGAACCAGAGAGTAGTAAACAGTAGCTACACGAAGAAGTTAATGAATAAACTAGAGCGAATTCTTTTGTTTAGTAAAAAAAACTGCGTAATAATACAAACAAATATAGTTGATTGAATTAAACAAATCATGTAACAGTAATGATATTTGTGATAGTAATAATAATAATAATAATAATAATAATAATAATATCAGTAAGTAGATTATTTTCTCTGTTTGTTGAAAATAATATAAAAAGACGGTTGAAGATAGTGAAAAGAGAAGGAAATCAGCGCCTCTCTCTCCCACCAAAAAAAAACTTAATCATATGTGGATATAATGAAAGGAAAGTCTAAGTGGATTGTATTACACAAGTGTATATGTAAGAAAACATAAGTACACGTACACGATTAAACAAACACCTGTGTATATTATTTCCACGTAATTAGGACTGATTGGTTAACAGACTGTGCACAAAGTTTATTAAAAGGGGGGATTAATATAAATTATTTATTTATTATGAACATGGATTTTGTTGGCCACAAGTTATTGGCGAATAAACAAGAATAATAAACTGCTTTTCACAAGATAATTAAGACAGTCAAGTCAAGAATATCAGGCAAACCATTTAGTCCTTTTGAAAATATACTTTTCTAATTTATAAAAATGTGGTCGACTAGTGAGAAGAGTTCATTACAGAAAAACATAAAAAGAAGGGAAATATAAGCAATAACAATGGAAAACAAACTTCTCGACAAAAAGGGAGGGGGAAATAATTAGTAGTATTTTCCCTTCAAAAAATAGTAGTCATCAGAAAAAAGAACGAAGTTTTTGTTCCAGCTTAGTAAAAATAAAAAGAGCATAAACATAGGCGTACACATACGAACACACAAACAACGATGCAGATCAGCATACTTTTCATCTTGAGCATAGCAACTGTGCATGCATAATCATTATTAACTGTATGATCTAAACAGATGATGATGTGAGTGAATAAGGATAAACTACCTGGATACGTATATTTTGAAAAGAATAACATTTTGGTGTGTACATTACCTGCCTACCTCATTATTGCATTGTTTCTCTCTTTTCTTGATATCAATAATCCTATGAATTTTACATTAGTAATTCATCTTGCATTCTTTATTTCCTTCTATAACAAATAATCCCATGTTTTCGTTTTCTTTAATTTTCTATACTCTTATTGTTTGTCATTTTTTACCTATCGTTTGTATGCCTCTGAGTGTATAAATATCATTAAATATAATACATTTAACCATAGAAACAGGATTGCATAAACAACATGTTCCTCAAATTTAATCATTTAATTACATTTTTTAAAAAGGAACAAAGTCAATTCACAACTGAAAATAGTTATTTAAAGTAAAAAGAAATTATCACTTATAGTAATAATAATCAAACAACTGGAAATCAATATATCGTAATATAAGTATAAATATGAAAGCAACAAAGTAACAAACGTCCATTATGAAGGGATTATAATTACATTGGTAATTGAAATAAGACAGGGCGGGGGGCTTAAACTGAAGTATAGCTGGGGCAAGGGCGAGGATATGGTGCATGTTAACAGACAAAGAGAGAAAAATACCCAGAGGGAAAAAGTATAGACTGAAAAGTCATCTAATCTTACTGTTCTTTATCCTTTAAAAAGAAAAACAACCTCAACAACAACGATAATGTACGCATAGAAAAATCTCGTTTATCCTATAAATAAAATTGGATGAAAAAATCCTGCTAATTCCGGTCCAGTCGGTGCATGCGTATTAGTAAGAGAAGTAACGGTAATACGTGAAGGTGAGAAACGATTAAGATTTTGTGTAGTAGTAGTAGTGGTAGTAGTAGCCGTAGCGTTATTTGATGTTGACGAGGAAAAAGATGTGGAAACAGGCCAACTAGCTGTTGTGACTAGAAAGCGATTGAAATGTGAAGGTGATGAAGTACTACTACTGGTAGTAGCAGTAGTAGTAATGGTACCAGTCATTGTAGTAGTACTCTGATTATCAAGTAATTGTGACTGATGTCGTTGATGAATTAAATTTTGTAAACTTGTTGGTCTTGTGCGTGATGTTGATAATGATAATCTCTGTATATCGGAACTTCGAGTAACTGGATTATTATTTCGTCCAGTTAGTGAAATTAATGCCGATGGAGGGACATATAAAGAACTGGATATAATTGAAGTACTAGCAGGACGAAGTAGATTTGTAGAACCATTGAATTCATTTAAACTCAAAGCATATGTTTGAATATCAGTTGTTATATGCCGTGGTTCATCATCAAAATCATCCCGATGCATGATACCAATAGCTATACTACGATTTGGTGTAGTTGGTGTATCACGTGAAGCAGGTGTTATTGTAGATTCATGAATTGGTGTATGATTAGTTCTAGATGTAAGACAAATATCATCAGCAGTAGTCCTGTTAGTAGTAGCATTTCTATTTTGTAAAGGATCAACAGACAACCCGCTAACACTTGACTGACCAGATTTGAAACGATAAAAAGCAAAGGAACCATTGTTAGTTGGTCTACACGATGATCCTTCATCGGTTAAAACATGTTCCAAATATGTTAACGCTATATCCAAAACCGGACGACAAGGTTGTTTTAAATGCACTGGAGAAAGTAAATTTTGACATGAAAATAAACAAATGATGATATACTTTTAAACTATTTAAATTTTATTTGTTATAAAGAAGAAATGATTAATATCACCATGGGGATTTGTCGAGATCGTAGCATTTTAACAGTTGAATTCACGAATCAATCTAAGCTAGGTCACTGTTGAAAAGTTGAAAGCACTGAACGGCCGTTTCGTCCTAGTATGGGATTCCTCGACAGTGAGCATCCATGGCCGTCCAGTGCTTCCAGGTTTTCAATGAGTGGTCTAACTATGGTTGACTCATGAATTCGACTATTAAGATGATTAATAGCTGCAAAAGCTTTTCCTTTCAAGGTTACTACAAGTCAGAAGTTTTTGGGTGAAATTGATAAACAGACACAACAATGCCACGCAATGACCAGTTTAGGACGGATTTTTTAAGGTTCTAGAAAGAAGTCATAACCAATGAAGTCAAACAACTCAGTGCGTCATTCAATTATTATAATGGGTGTTTAAATGATTGGTTTAAATGAAAAAACTGTCATGACATTATAATTATTTAATTACATGATAAATTGTAAACCATTCTGATGTAAGCCAGACCAATATGTAGATATAGATCATTTTTATTATAAATGATAATTGTACGTTACAATTTGACTAATCTAGCTCTCATTAAATGAATTGACTATTCAAGAAAATGTTAATTAACACTATTTTTTTGTTAAGAAATAGAACAACAAAGATTCAACTGTCAATTTTCAAGTGATACCAGTAGATGTCTTGTTTGTCTATCAGTCAGTCAGTGAAGGAGGTCGATTATGAATACAGTGGTCTTGAGTGCTGTTAGAGGTATGATGGCGGCTATCACTTCCCGGTCGCCCACACCGTGGAAGGGTTCTCCTGGAGGTACCTGAAAAGGAAATTGGATTAGAGGTGGTCTTAGTGACCTGAGAGCGTGACCGCAGTGCCCAAGGGACAACAGCTTGGGGTCGGTCACATACGACCTTTTTATGAGTAATATTTTTGTTAGCTCCGTACTTGTTGAGACCTTACCGCCGGAGACGGATATCCGTGGGATAAGGCGAGGTGTGTATTTTTAGGGTCGACCTTTTCTAACCCCACCCCTCCTTGTGGGAAAGCAGTATCACTGTTATGCTGGTTGTCTGAAGCAAACACCTTACTGCTGTCACACCTCTGTACAGTCAGCAGTACGACTTCGCCTTGGGACCTGGGTTTTGTTGCTTTTAGTCTTACCGCTCTTCAACCGACCTGTCTGGCATGGTAGTACCTTGAGGAACGGTTGTTCTAGCCAGTATAGCTCAGTTGCTTCATCACGATAGGCAAGCCCGACCACCACATCAAGGTAGCAATATATATATATATATATGGGACAGAAACAACGAAAAAAAAACAGTTCATCATATGATCAGTGTGTAATTGGACAAATAAAGACTTTTTCATTTTTAACTACAAAATAAATTCCATTCTATTTTAAAACAGATGTGAATGAATTAATGTTGTTTTTTCTGTTTGTTTGAAGCGTAAAATCTCTAATAGACGTTAACTCTTTTTTGACAAACAGTAAAAAAATAGACTGAAATGATAATTTGTAATATTGAAATTTATAAACCAGACAATGTAATAATTCAAATGTATGTGTCTTATAATCAAGATGAAAATGATATGTATATTCAGACCATTCAGTGGTAGCATCTCAAACTATAAAACTTAGTGACGTGGATGTGAATTCTACGTGCAACATCAATTCTCTCAAGAATGTAGCCACGTTGTTCTGATGAGTACCAACAATCACGAAACGTAGGTGCAATATTCTTCTTACTGCTGTCATCAATTTTTGTAGAGATTCTTTGATAGTTACAAAAGTAGTTTCCATCATAAACTTGCGGTAATCGTTTAGAAAACTTGGAAAATTAGATAGAACTGGATACAATGTATTTAATTGAACTGGTGAACAGGTTATTGATAGAGCAGCCACAAGCTCATTGTAGAATTAAACCCAAAACTACATAGATACCAGGTGAGTAGTATACCATCAAATCAGTGTTTGATAATCAAATACTATCCATTTTCAACTTTAATCGATTCAGAAAACTATCTTCACTAGATGTAATTGATTACGATTTTTCGTATTTTCCGACATGGTTGAAACACATATAGCCATCTAGTGCTCAGAAGACTGGATTTCATGATTGTCTAGTTGGTTTTTGGTTCATCATGACAAGCGAACTACTTTAATTGGGAAAAATTTTCACACAACACCACCTATCTAAACTTCCTGTCATTAATATTTACTTGAAGTTATACAGAAAACCTACTACATGTAACAGTAGTGGTATAATTCGAATATTGTGATCTGTTTTAGCATAGAAGAAACAAACATTCCGTAGAAAGAACTACAAAATAGTATTGAATATTAGGACAATAATCGATGTGTTGTGCACAAAGACGAAATAAAAAAAATACACGAGATCCTTTAAATGAACAATTATGTTCCAAGATACTAATAAGGATTCCAGTCCAAAAGAAGGAAAACAGATGGACTTTTATGCATAAATAGAAAAACAACTGTACCTAAGGGTTACACTTACCCAAAATAGCATCATTTACAGCATCAGCTAATAATTCTCGATATTTTGGATGTAACAAACCACTAAGCGGACTTTTGTATGGATTTTGATATGCAACTAAACTGAATGCATCCTATTAGAAATTAAGAAAGAAGAAAAAAAAGAAAAGCTTTTCATGATGAAGGGAATGTAAAGATAGTGTTATAATGACAATAATGTATAATGTGACGGTTTAACGACTGAGGTGAGAGAGGAAAATCCTTTTATTGTTTAGATGACAGGATTTTGTGTAGATCACTGTAATCTGTAGAAGAAATTAGTTACGGATTGACCTTGCTTGGTGGAACTGTTGAGAACAAGGAGTCACTGGATGGTGATTTTAATGGTTAAGTGTTCGTCATGAGACCTAGAGGTCTTGGATACAGATTTAGAATATAGCTACTAGAGAGTTTATTAACATTGTGCAACCAACCAATAAACTTAAATCACTGTATATATTCAGTGTAACTTTATGATTAGTTAAAAACGAAAACTTTTTTATAGTTTAATAATTATTTATGGAAGTCTGACATTGATATGAAGAAATATTCCGAAGACATTGGGATGTTAAGAAATTGTTGACACCGAAATAAACTTGCTTTTTGTATTTTCTCTAATCAGTGAAATTTACTGATTATTATCTCATTAACTTACTCGAACATTTCAGTGTTTATTTTTGAAAAAGGAGTGCACTAAAGTACACTTCAAAGATCATGAAAATTCACACAAACTTTTACCAATATAGATAAGTGAAGATAATTGTTAATTCAGTTCATAGATTATACAATATATTTTCACAATTATTGCGTCTAATAACAAAAACATAACATGGAGATACTCTATTATAAATGGTATTAACTATACATATGTGACACTGAATGATGATGGTTTGAATTTAAAAGAGTAAATTATTTACCTTGGGACTACTGCACATACATACACTATCCTCAGAATGTCAACTAGCACGAAACATAATCTTCAGATTTCTCTCAGTTGACTTCAACCATTATTCTCTGATAAATTCTACCATGTACTATCAAAGCCTATTGATTTTGTAGATAGAGATGAAAGAATTTGATCATAAGAACAGTGATCCTGAGATGACAACTACCTAGTTAGAGCATTCGTGATAACAGACATCAGTGGTCGAATATATTGGATAACACGACTTAGAAACAGTCAAAATGATATAGATGTGTTCACACTTTATTTTCAACTGAAGTCCCTGTATTTGTTCTTACATACTTATTCATTCTGTCTTATCGAACAATATCCTAGGTATTTACTTATTCTAACTGTCATTACTGCTATATTGTTTCGATGTCTTTTGTAATTCATATATATTTTTATTGTATAATTGTTAAGTAACTGGACTGTGCATATTCATGTTCCTCTTATTACAAGATTTATTTTGACCTATAGATTATTATTATACGATTTATTGTTCTTGAGTAATGCCCAATCTATTTATTACAGTTTCCCATATTCATAGCAACTTTTGACTAGATCCTGTACAAATGTTATTTTCTATTTTCTGGTGCGATGTGTTCTGTTTGGTTTGTATATAAACCCAGTATGTTTGAAAAATAATGATTCATATCGCAGAGGCTGAGATTGGTGTTCTGGACTCAATAGGCAATCATAAGGACCGATAAATACTCTAGACTGCTCGTACGGATTTATACGTCGTTGGCCCAGTCGAAAATTCACTGTTCTCTAATTGGCGTTATCATTACGTTATATATTAATAGGGCACAAGGTCACAAGTTATAACAATTTGTGACGGGGATGGGATTCAAACCCACGCGGGCAAACCCCAATGGATTCTTTATATTGGTAAAGGTTCGTGGAGTTGACTGAATTTCACTAAAAAAACGAAACGATCTAAGTTGCACAAACATTGAAAACGTGAAAGCACTGAACGATTGTTTAGGCACTACTCAGTAGTGCCCATCCATGACTCCGCACACGGGAATCCAACCCACAACCTTCGGTCTCGCACGAATGCTTAACCTATAGGCCATTGAGTCGGTGTTCACGTCTGACTTCATCCAATCCACGGTATTGAACAACCATCTTCCATTATCTTTGGTGGGTAAGTGCCTCATACTCGATACGTTTGAACTCCACTGGTCACGGTTTCTCACTAGAGCTCCGGAAACTTCCTTTTGAAGCTAACCGCTAATGAGCATATGATAATTGTCAGTAATGCAACGCATTCAAAAGAAATAAAGAACTTACACTTAAAAGTAACCATTGTTCCAAACTGATCACTCCCTGACGCTGCAATTCTAGTGCACTTGATCGTAAATTACGTCCATATTCAATTAACTCACGTAGTTCATTATTCAATATCTGATCCACACTTTCAACATCACCATTATTATTATTATTATTATTATTATTATTATTATTATTATTATTATTATTATTATCGAAATAATTATGATGATGTGGATGATGATTAGAATTAATGGCATCATCAAAATAAAATCCATTACTGTTGACTGAATGAAATAAATCACCATTTTGTTTATTTTCCACAGGATTATTTTCATGATCAATTGAATCGATTTTAGACAAAGATAGGGTAGAGTCATCATCAATAGGCGAATACATTGAATTGCCATTTGTTATAATTTCACTAGCCTGTTTTTGAACATTAATGGAAGGATGATGATGATGATGATCATGATGATAGGAATCAAAATGATATTTTGATTTGTATTTCGGTTTAAATGATACAGAATTAGAAGTTGAATATGAACGATCATAAGAAGATAAGGATAATAATGATGATGATGAAAAACTGTGTAACTTATTAGCATGTATTCGTTTTCGTCGACAATGACCATTACCAACACCGCCACGACGACGACGTATTACAGTTAAACAGTTCAGTCCTTTATACTCAATTCCTAAACCTAGATCATTGACTGAATCAATTAAACGCAATTCCATATTCAAACCTTCAATATGTGATTCTAACATCATTCCAGTTAATGAAATATGTCGAATATAAGAATTCGATAGGTGATGATTCCATTTGTATGGCCTAATCAATTTTCTATTGTCAGTCTGTAGAGATTGAAAGTAGAGTATAAACATAGTTTGGAGTTATAATATGCTTTCTTTTCTAACCCACATTATCATTATTATTATTAATCTTGGTGTTTACAGTCTAATATTTTAAGTTTCTTCATTCATGTAGTAGTATTAGCAGATGATAATCAATGGGATCTTCCAGGAATACCTACATAGTTATTGATCAAGACTATCATCATCATACTATTTATGGTTGAAATTAGTGTTGACAAAAAACCAAACAGAGAGAAAACAGCTGATTCCGCTACGAAGTTTTCCGTAACTGACCATTATTACAATCATCATGGGATCACATTGGAATTTATAAATAAATCACCTGATAATCTTTCAGTTTGACATGACTAACATACGCTCATATAATAAAGATTTTTATGTTAAAAAGGAATAAAATAACTTGTCGCTTACGTAATAGAAGTTTAAGAATAGATTTATTCTTTTTAATATTCAAAAAAGATTAACAGTGTAAACAGTTATTAACGTGAAAATGTTTTCTCACATTCTTAACCATAACAAAAACGATTTGAATGAAACGACTAATAAGTTAAAACTGAAAATGAACTATTTTAGATTTATTATCGGATTAAGTCAATTTGACATTAAAAATATACAGATGTTCTAGATATTTTACACACTGAACCTTTTTTATAAACTAATAAACACTGAATTATATGTAAGCAATAATTGTCGCTGGCTTTACCGTGATCAAATATGAGCTGCTTGATATAACAAGATAGCTAGGAAGAATACTCGACAACAAATAAAATCCATTTTTTATTTTTATTTCAACACATAGATATTGGTACAAGGAGGCACCAAATACATATGCGCCACACGAATCTCAATTGATTTGTGTGACGGCTGTGATACTGCCCGAGTGCCCAAACCGAAGCAGGTGGTTTTCTTAGGGGGCCACACCCCGAGTCTTCGACCTGAATGTCTGACCCACAAGGCAGTGGAGCATCGTTAGGAGATGCAGTCCCATGGTAGTCGGTGACCAACGATTGGTTCATATGCCATTTGTTTCTTCAGGATCCAATTACAGTTGATTCATTACTGAGTAGAAACTGGTGTCATGTCTATCTAGTCCTTGAGTTCTGATCAAATTCTATTAATCAAGTTCTAATGTAGACATCAGTTTAAGTGACTCGACATCATGTTCACTACGTTGAATGTTAAGTGGTTGGAGGTAGTTGACGGGAGACCGTGAATCTAGTTTTTCTGTTAGTTAAGACTCATCGGTAAGTTTTTTTTCTGTAATCTTGAAGGAAATAATGTTCCAAGTGAGATTTGATCCCGCAACACTCAGTTTACGGGGGGATTGATTGGAGGTATGATGGCGGCTATCACTTCCCGGTCGCCCACACCGTGGAAGGGTTCTCCTGGAGGTACCTGAAAAGGAAATTGGATTAGAGGTGGTCTTAGTGACCTGAGAGCGTGACCGCAGTGCCCAAGGGACAACAGCTTGGGGTCGGTCACATACGACCTTTTTATGAGTAATATTTTTGTTAGCTCCGTACTTGTTGAGACCTTACCGCCGGAGACGGATATCCGTGGGATAAGGCGAGGTGTGTATTTTTAGGGTCGACCTTTTCTAACCCCACCCCTCCTTGTGGGAAAGCAGTATCACTGTTATGCTGGTTGTCTGAAGCAAACACCTTACTGCTGTCACACCTCTGTACAGTCAGCAGTACGACTTCGCCTTGGGACCTGGGTTTTGTTGCTTTTAGTCTTACCGCTCTTCAACCGACCTGTCTGGCATGGTAGGACCTTAAGGAACGGTCTTTCTACTCAGTATAGCTCAACTGTTTCATCACAGTAGGCAAGCCCGACCATCACATCAAGGTAGCAACAACAGCGGGACTCAGCTTCACAGTTCTAGACACTGTCACTCAGATATTCGGAACGCAAAAGACCTCTCTTGTAGAACTGAGAAATATTTACAATTGTTTGATCGCTAAATAATAATCAATATCATGTTTGTCTAGTTTTTCGACTACTTGCAACTACCTAACATGTCAAAATACTGTACGCGATGTTGATTCACTTAACCATTTCGAGAAAATTTCGAAGTTAACACTGTACCCTAGAGTAACTGTACTTGAAAGGTTAATCGAAAACTATCTAGTTAGTTACCAATATCATATTGTCTATACCTTGGTGCTGACTGGATTCTATTGAGGGAGTTGTATTATACAGCCACTAGGTCAAATAAGTCAATAAAGTTGTCACGAAGCACACAGGTAGACATCGATAATAAAAGCAATAACTTTGCTAATAAAAAAATAAATATTGGTGGAAAAGGGTTTAGTATATTGAGGAATTTTCATCGAAAATTATGCTGAACAATGATTCAAAACTATTGAGCATATAATTATTTACTTTGTGGAAAGTTCAACGTAGTATTTGTACAAACTTAAAGTATTAATGAAAAAAATACGGGGGACTATTTTACTAGTGAGAATGGTTGACGATTACAAATATCAACTTGTAGCTCATGTGGATGATTTTGATCGATATTTGTTGTCTGAGCTAGATGGTTTGGTCGTGCTGATGTCATCAAGAAGAACAAGGAAGGCTCCATGACCAAGCCATCCAGTTGAGAGAATACATTCTACCAAAATATTAAATTTTCACTTTATAAAAATGGATAAATAGATTTTAGATCACCTTAATTTATTACTAATGAATTTTTATTTTATCTTACCTTAATATGATTGTTTTCTGCATAGACGGGGAACATAACAGGACAGATGATTTCTGATGAATTATTATCATTATTATTACCATTAGTAATACAGTCGAGGCTAACACCAGTACCATTAGCAGAAGGACTATTATCATTAAGGGAAGGACCATTTTTTGGAAAGACTGACGGTAGAATTTCAGAGCAATATTCATCACTTATTGCTGGTGATAATAATCCATTATTATTCCATTCGTTACTTGGTAGGTTAAAACGAAGCCTAACAGGTGATTGATAATCTGATGGATTATGTGAATGATTATAATTAGTAGTAGTTGATGTTAAACACGACGATCGATTGATGATAGAATTATTTGTAATATTAGTAGCATCAATTGTTGTGTGAGCTGTTAGCTCTAAATTCATTGAATGATGGTTATGATTAGAGTTAATCAAATGTTTACATTGACAATCATGTTTATTAGGTGTTGTTATTTCAGGTGATGATTCTGAAGAGCTTGAAGGCTTCATTCTCTTTTGACTATTTCGATGAGTATCTAAGCCGTTAGATTGTAATGTTTTCCTAATATTACTATCAATATCATTGTCAGATAAACCGTTTAAAGATACAGGTTCTTTGGAAGAATTGGTCGTATAATGCTGACGTATCTGTAAAACAAAAGCACAAACTATGAACACAAAAGAATTTTAAATAGTAACATTCAACACAAATTGTCACTTATACCCACGTTACAACGGTCCTATGGATAGTTCAGTTATTACATGTTAGGTCTTGAAAAAGATAACATTAGAGAGTTTTCTAATTCTTATTAATGCAATGACATTTATTGTTACCTGGTTGGTTGTTATCACTTTATGTTTGCTTTGTTATGTGGCCCAAGGTCAATGTATGCTACTATAAAATCAGTTGTTCCTTTTCAAATTTGATTTCTGTGAGGAATATAGAGTTATTCTGAAAGTTCCGTTTTCTCTATTAGCTTTGAAGTGTGGCTTGTGCGATACATACTCGGCCTATTCGAGTTGATATTCATTCTCGTTCATATTAGAGAAATCCTCAATTATTCGTAAATAGTTTTTACCTCAGACCAACTGGAAACATGATCATAATCGAGAATTAACATCTAAACAACGGTTTTACTCTAATTTCGGAACCATATACAATGTTGTACTCGTTCGAAAACTAAACATTCTATCTACAACTCAACGTGAAATAATAAATGTGTCATTCTGAAAGTAGTCACATTATTTTAAAATGAAACGGTCATCTAACAGTGTTCTTTCTTATTTTCAATGGATTTTTGAAATATTGTCAACTTATAATGAAAACAAATCTCAAATTGGACAATATCTACAAGTCTTTTATCCCAATAGAAAAAATAGATTAATCAATCGAAAATGACTGTATATAAAATATATATGATTAAACAAAAATATACAGTTTCTGAGCGATATCATTTTGAAGCATTAAAATTACAATTAGATATAAAATTCTACCAGAAACAAATAAATGAAAATGTTAATATTATTGTAACTAAAATTCATCTTTAATTAAAGTTTACTAAAGAACGTAATAAACGTATGATGACAACAAAAAACTTTTCCATATGTAATTATCAAATAAAAACGTTTTGAACTATAATTAATAAAACAATATAACAGATTATCGGTCACATATGCAATTTTCAAGTAATATGTTATATCCAGGGTTTTCCGACCATTTTTCAGAAGCCCACTGACTAGCTTGACGGATGATGTCATTTGGTGCTGGAGTAGATTAGGAGAAAGATAGGTGCGGCTGAACCAAAAACATGGCAACAGTTCATGAAGTCACTAGGAATTAGACTGAGTTATATTAATAAGTGTAGACTACCTCTTTGAAGTTCATGTGCATCCACTCTTTGTCTTCTCTTCAATTTTAAGTTTCTAAATTTCCCATAATTTTTTATTTAATTGATTTATCGTACTTTCAAAGCCTAAACTTTTTCATTGCCATTGATGTTACTACCTCTACTATCCTGGCAATTAGCCCTAAAGATTTCATTTCGCTATGGTAACAGGGTATAGCAACTTGAACAGATGTACACACGTACCAAGGTTTTATATTGTGTTTGACTGCTTGACTAGGCGCATCTGAAGTCATTTAAAACTGTCCGATGTGAACATGTCAGTATAGCATAACATGCAAGATTTAAAAACGCAAATCCATTGATAGTTGGGGTTTGAAATGAAATCTCTAGTAAAAATCACACTTTAATATGAGACACTAAATCACTTAAGAAATAGAAAAACGAACGAAAGTACTGGTTATATATTATACTATTTTGAATATTAAAATATGTAACGGGTAACCTCAGTATTAAAAATTTAAAGTTACCAATTTGATTAATAATGCTAAGATAAATGAATGAATGAGTTGAATATATGAAATATAAACATGAAATGAAATATAAGCAACAGGAATACAATAATGATATGATGATCACTGAAAATTATGAAATTGAACAAAATAATAAGCTCTTTAATTACACATTTACATAGAGTTCAAGGTTCATGGACTTTTGTAATTTATTTTACAAGACTTAAATGTACTTAATGTATGATACTGAAATTAGATTAATCAAATGACCAGAACAAAAAATATGTAACCTATTTTAAATAAAACTATGTGATGCTAAAACTTGAAAACATGTTCTAATTAGAATCAAAGATGAACAGATTCTAGGTTGTTTAGTTATTAGAAATTAAACAAGTTTAATAATTTTATAGTTAAATGTTTGAATAGTAGTTGCAGCATAATTGTTCATTTTAATTGATGTACGTATCAACAACAACAAAAAAAGAAGTACTTGGAGCTGGAGTTCAAACTCACAACTTATTGTTACTTGAAGGATGAATTAATATAATTATTAAACTATCGTTTAATTTTTCAAAGTTTATTTAATGGAAAATTAAACTTGATTGGTATATTTTCTTTATAATATAAAAGAAACATGTACATATTGTTCTAAGAATCTAGGATGTTATCAAACAGGACTTATTTGAATGTAAAAACAAGTTTTAAAAATAATTTAAACATCTCACTCCTTTTAATTGGATGCAATATATACAACGATGTAAATGTAAGTTTTTACAAGTACTATTATTCAGAGCTATGCTTTGTAATTTATTAAAAATTTCTATTTGTATGATGCATTCTAATTTAACAATGAATCTATGGAATTATATGCAAAAATTTGTATCAATCTGAGATTTATTATTTTATTGTATTTGTAGGTATCAATGCCAAGGTTTGACTTGATAGTTTTAAATAAATTGAGAATTGGATGGAAGGTTAATAATAAATATAATTTTGTGATAGGACGATGAGTGGAAAATTGTATTTCAGAAGTTTCATAACATTATGTAACCCACTTCTTTAGAGTAAATAAAAGCATGGTTTACGTTAAGTCATAAAACGTCAAAAATACAATTTTCTACTCACTAAAATATCACAAAAAACTTTTTTTTTACTTGACTGTGGGTGCTATTTAAGTATACAAGCAAAAGTAGTATAGATTGAGATTAATCTGAAACACAATTTACTTAAAGAACATTTAATGATAATGAGAAACTTTTACAGAGTATATTTAATGGGTAATAAACATATCGCAAATAACTAATAGCTAATGCTCCTGAAAGGTGAACAAAAAAGTTTGAACTGTGCACATAGTTCAATTATCATTCATGTATAAATATATGGAACGTTTAATTCACATGGATGGAAGATTTAACTTTTAAAAATAGAAATCTCTTCTCAATAACATTCATACTACCATTAATCAGATGACATACAACTTTTGATAATTTTGTACTGACTATTGAAGAAAATATTTATATATACATAATGACAATCGTCAGATGTCCCATTACTGTCTCTCTTTCTCTCTCCCTTCCTCTTTAACACATGCAAACATTGAACATGAAAATGTTATTTTGAAACCATACAGGAATTACAGAAAAAAAGTACATGATTTAAAGAAAAGTACTTAACTGAATAAATGTATATATCACAAGATTTCCCAGTCCTGTGATCAATCATAACACGAAGTTCATATATATAGTTCACGTGATTGAAAAACAAAATCGATATATATCAATACAAAGTTTTATATACGAACAATCTGGTGTTTTAGTAAGCTAGGCGTAAATAGGATAGATAAACAGTTGATAGTCGTTATAACTTATTTTCTTCATTGAATCAGTTTATTTAATTCGTCGGTAACGAAAGTTTTGCAACATTACGAAAAAATTCGAAAGGAGGGAAGCAAAACTCAATAAATTTAAATGATTTATACGTTGTTACTGTTACTGTCTGTAAGAACAAAGTATATGATTGGTTAATTCTACAGAAGTGATCACGTAGTATAAGTTTTGTAGATAATAACAAGCTAACTAACAAAAGTTTTTAAAAGAATAAAGTTAAAGGACCATTAGGGAAAATTTGTCACTTGAGGAACCAATAAATGAGATAAATTATTATGTCAAGCAAAGTATAAAACTGATCGTGTATGTGCTAATAGGTGTGAACACATTGTGTATCAATTGGTGAAGCTGGAAAGGGGGGAGTGTAAAGTTAATCAGTTTATGACTGGGTGCCGTAGTATGAAAGTAAGCTATATAAAACTAACATCTATCAGTTCATCACAACTCCTAGCCTAAGTAGGTTTATAGAGATAATGAAATTCAGTGGCTAGAGATGTTATGGAACATGGCTTAGAATAGAAGCTAATGGCGATTCTGCTGTAGTTTTCTTTTACATTTCGTATAAAACTGAAATGGATTCCTTTAATTGGGTGAAGTCCATCATTGTTATCTTTTTAACCGAAATGTACCTCCCATCATATTACTCCGGTTCATCTATTTGTTTCTCAAATGCATTTCAACTTACCTTCCTTATTTTTTCACAAATTTATATTTTTATTTTGTTTAGTGCATATTAATTTTGATGTCTCAGTTGTATGAATTTTGTCAGTTAAATAAAATAAATATAAATAATAGTCAATTTCATACGATGTCCATAATAATTATAGTTGAAATTTATGCGAGATATTACTACATGCACATTGAAAAGTGTTCAAGTAATTTTTCGATTGTAGATTTAAACCTTACCATAATTTAATTGCATTTAGGCAGTTTGGTGAGATCAATGATATTTTACGTAATTTAAAGATGAGTAAATGAAGTAGTTGGTTAACGAATTAACACTATCATAGTGATATTTCTATTTTCGGTGGGTAACTGCCTCACACCCGATAAGGTTAGACTGTACCAGTAACAACTTCGCACTAAAAATCCGAGAATTACCTCTCGAAGCAAGTCACCAGTGAGCACATGATGATTATCAGCATAGGGTTGTGGAGATTACTGAGTTATAATTAGAATCATGAACCAATGAATGCTACACCACCATCGAGAACCTGGAAACACTGGACGGACGTTTCGTTCCGGGTTCGAGTCCAACGTGCCGGATCATAAGTGTGCACTGTCAAGGAGTCCCAAACTAAGACGAAACGGCCGTCCAGTACTTCCAGATTTTTAATGGTAGTCTAACATTGACTGGCTCATGGTTTCAATTAAAACTCAATAGTTCCCATAACCCTATGCTGATATTTTTGTTTGTTCGATATCTCATATAATGTATTCAGTTTCCAATATTGAATCTATATGATTGTTTCATATTCAACTTTGTACGCAAGAAGAAAACTCAAATCAGGTGTTTTACTTAAGTTCCTTGCCTTAAAAACAATTTACATAGAATTATTATAAATATTACAACCAAGTCGAGAATTGCTTTCACTTTTTCAAGTGTTGATATTTTTTAACTAGATGGTTTTCGTTTCGGACATCATTATCAGCGCCTACCTTCAATATTTCATTCTTGTGCACCCAAACACACCCTAAAAATTATAGAATTTGTCCTATTCAAAATGTTGACATCTTAGCAATTAAATTTATGTCTGTATCTATTTGTATAAATTCGAGTCAATATGTGATCAACATACAATATAATGGAACAAATTTATGAATGTGGGACAAAAATGTTAACCAATCACACGATCAAGAGTCAAAGCAGTCAATGGGAACATATCGAATTAATCAAAGCTGTGAAGGCAAACAGGTGGAAACAAGGTCACCAGAGAAGATTAACTTAATACCTATTGAAGAATCAAAAAGAACATTCATGCGCGAAGTAAACTCTGATGTTGTCAACAGTGATAACGGAAGTTTCACAATTAAATCGTTCAGCTAAGACAATACACTATTAAATCCATTCGTCTGAGCTATAAATCTCATTTATCCCAACCTTCGCTTTCTTCGATACCCTGATGAAAGCATCATCCATTTACAAATTTCACAAAATCAAACAGATATTAAGCTATAACAACTGTACTATTCACTTTCAAGTATTTATCACTTATTAGTCTGAAGATAAGATGCGTGCATTAAATCGATAATCTTACGATCACCAATTATTTTAACAGAGAGAAAAAACCCGACAAACCTTGGTCGATCAAAAAAACAAACATGAATATAATCGATTTTGTGAAAACAATTTATCACCTTCCCTATTTTAACAGAAGTGTACTATATGTATATATTACCAATAGATAGATGAAGGTGAAATTATATATATGTCCTATAATCCAGTACAACCTTGACCTGTTCATATTTAACTGAATTATCTACACATCTGATGTGCAATGTGTATACAACACACTGAAACAGTCGACATATTAATTAAACGAGTACAGCATGTTAGTTAGTTCACCTAATTTTATCTATCTTTTTTGCTAAAATTAAAACTCATGCGAATTCGTGGGTGTTTTGCTTGCCAGGGTGATGGAAAAATTTCGTTAAAAGCGTGAACTGTAAAAGTGCAACAGTGTTTTGATAATTTATATTTCTTTTTAATTTAAATAAAAAATACAAACCAGTATGTTGCAACTAACAATAAAAATAGTAATAACAATAATGACCAAGTTAAATTAAACCACAAAGACTGATATGACATTGTTTTATGTTTTAGTGCAATACACCATGAATTATGCGGGCGTAACTGTGTAAATATTTCAGGAAAACTGAAATACAACACAGTAAACATCAACCAAATCATACTTGATGATTAACCTCTGAAAGCAGTAGGAACCTTTAAATATCTGGACATCAATGATAAGTAAAGAGAATCTAATGCAGATGTGAAGGCATAGACGGGCAAATCAGGGGCAGCATTTCTACAATTGAAGAACATGTGGAACTCAAAACAACTATCATCTAACATCGAAGTAAAAATCTTCAAAACAAAACTAGAGACAGTTTAATAGTATGAAACTGACGTGAAGAACTACCACAACTATCATCAAAAAAGTACAAGCACTTTGTAAAGTTAGATATTAAAACCATTGAATGCCGGTTCAGTAGAGGTTAAGTGTTCGCGCGAAACTGAATGCTCTGGATTTAAGTCCCGCCTGCGGGATCGTAAATGTGAACTGTCAAGGAGTTCCACACTAGGACGAAACGGCCGTCCAGTAGTTCCAGGTTGTCAATGGTGGTGTAACATTAATCGGTTTTTGATCTCAATTAAAACCACAACCTTATACTGATCTTATGAACAGCTTTTTACACAAGGTACTCTAAATTCATTATTTAGACACCTTCAGCGACATCCACCTGTGGTAGCGAGCAAACTAGCTGCTAGTTGAGGAGGAAATTAGAAATAAAGCTGGAGGGAAAAAATCACACTTCACGGAAATCATTAAACTCCATCACAAGGCAATCCCTAACTTGAGGTCCTTAAATAAAAAGAAAAAGAGGTAGGTCAAAGAACACATGGCACTAGAAATGGAGACATAAAAAGGATGAATAGCACTAGAAAACAGAGCCCAGGAAAAAGTTGGTTAGAGATCCTTGATTGGCAGCCTATGCCTCATGAAGGGTAACAGGCATAAGTAAGTATTCAGGAAATCAACAAAATACAATGATGGCTGGGAAAAAGCGATGGTCACACTAAGCGTTCAAATTTCAGTGAAAACGAACAACAACAAAGGTGCGTCAATAAAGCATAATAAAAAGATAATATGAACAAAGGAAATGAACTTTAGATTAAACTGGCCAGATCTTGAAATATAAAATAGAGCCTTAAATAGTAAACTGCACAACATTTTACTTATTAGATCATAGGTTCGAGCACCTCTCTGACTAATTTTGACAGCTGTGTGCCATAATTAGTCCATCGCAGACAAAGATATATAGCTCAGAGAAAACACAAACTTATACTTAGTTATTGAGTTGGATCATTCTGTGTTGCAATTCTTAGAGACTTTTGCAGAAAATGCCCCCAAATGCGGTACGTTTGAGGGTGGGGAGAATCCGTTCTCCCTTTCAAAATGCTCTCACATGGCCACACGTGTACAACCACTACCAGTGAAGTCCTATTCATTGCCTTTTCGCGGCAGACGTGCTGTTTACGAAATTGAGAGGACAAAAAGAGCATGTCTGGTGCCTTAACCTGGTTAGCGTGTACGAAGGATCCAATGAAGGGAGTTGGAAAATCCTAATTCCAAACCAATGGTGCACATAAGCTCCAGGATCCTGAGGGGAAAATAGCGTATGAACCTATTGTTGATCACCAGAGACCATGGAACTGTATCTCATAGTTTCTTCACTGCTTGTGGAATAGAGCTTTAGGTCAAATGTTCGGGGTGTGGCTCCCTAAGAAAACCATCTGCTTCGGTTTGAGCGTCTGAGTAATATTCCAGCCCTCACACAAATCATTCGATTCGCGTGGCGCATATATATTTGGTACCTCCTTGTACCAATGTTTGCATAAATAAATAAACAGCAATAGTCAAATATGTTAATTTTTTAAAATAACAACAGGAAACAACTTACTAAATCTATAAAATGATGACATTTTAATACAAATGTAATAGATGGATCATTTTCCCATAATGTTTTGAAATAAGCTTTTAATTGATCTAATGCAGATAAATAATCACCGTTACGAATAGTCTCTCTTAAATGTCTTCGTCTTAGTAATATATCTACAGCTTCAGGCCAACGAAATAAATCCTTTAGAATTGTATCCTTTGATGATTTGACTAAATTTGTTTTCGACTGATAATGTTGATTGGTTGGAGCTGTTGTTGGCAACTTTGATTGCTGTTCACCACCTGATTCATCGAAAGTAATGCTGGTATTACCAGTGTTAGTAGTATTGTGGTTACCATGATTGTGGTCGTTATCCAAATGACAAGTGCCATTTGTAGAATTTGTTATTGAATCTATTTGAAACATATGCTTGTTTATAAACGATGGACAACTATCATTCGGTGTTTCAGATGCAAATGATTTTACAGGTGATTTATCGTTTGTGTCATAATTACTACTGCTGTCATCATGATGATGTACATTATAGTCATTATTATCAGTGACCTCATTGTTTTCATTGGTCGTAGTAGAAGAATCGATAGAAGCCTTTGTGACCCATTCGCCTAAAGCTTGAGCCGACTCAAGGAAACCGTTGTGTAATAGATAGGTTGCGACTAAACTATAAAATTAGAAAAAATCATGAAGCGCAAAAAGGATCATAACACAAGAATAATAATTTTAAGAATGTGAAAAAGAATAACTCAAGTGTACATCAACAGTCGATATGATAATACAATTCACAGATTAAACTAGGTTATTATTGATTGCAACACTTGTTCTAATACTTTGCCGAACAAACGAGGTTGACGAAAAACACTACATAACACTACATATATATATATATATATATATATATATATATATATATATATATATATATATATATATATATATATATATGGTATGGTAATCTATTTTAGACCGCTTACGTGTGAAATCTTATAAAAAATATACTACGAGTATCAAACTGGTTCAAAAAAATAATACAAGCACATTTCATCAATAATACTCAAACTCTAAACACTCCTCATGTATAAAATAAGTGTATTATTTCCACATTGGATATGATAAACAGACGAATTTAGTGATAACCACAGGATCAAATAATCATTCATAACAATCGATATTTTTCTTCAGATAATTAAAATAACCCATAGTGTCATTGAATCAGAAAAAGAGAATTCAGTGAAGAAAATTTTCTTTTTGATGAAATCATTTACTTGAGCTGTACATTCGTATATATAGTTATATGGAAAATGTATGTCTATTGGAGGATGAAAAGGATTGTATCACCAAATGGATTCGAGGAAAATAACAAATGGGGTTACGTACTAATCAAGGGGTAAGGAAGCAAATCGTTTATAGGTCAGATAAGAGTTCAATTGACAGATATGAAGAAAAGCGACAAACAACAAAGGTTATAATAATAAACTGAATAATAATCAAGTAAACTTGTATAAGGTAATAATAATAAATGATTAGAGTTTAAAATGCAAAACAGTAAATTAAAAATATTTTAGATAATAACCGAATAAGTGCAGAAAAATAACAAAAAAAAGGCACACAAACACAGAAACATACCCGTTAAGGGAATTAGGGCCAAGGAAAAATGAGAGATTGAACAAATCGTTTCTGCACGCACAGTTCAGGCTTCAGTTTATGGATTGCCAATGCCTCAGCAGTGCATAAAATATTGGTTCGAACCCCCCTTTGATCCAGTTCCTTTGACTCTGTAGACTACCTTAAATAAAGAGTCCACAGTTAATTAAGTGCTCCTGTATCGAACTAGTAATTGTTTTATGTTCTCCTTTTAAGAGCCAGGCCGGATGATGTTCCGAGATGCGTTTAGACAATGATCGCTTTGTGCGGCCTATGTAATGTGCCCTACATCAGCAAGTAAATTCATATACACATATTGATGTGGCCCAAAACGGAAGTTTGTCTTTAACACATCCCAGAATGGTAGGTCGGCTAGAGAAAACGATTCGGAGCTTAGCTGCGTAGAATGTTTTATTCAACGACTTCGAAATCCGTTTATCTAGGATTTCAGCAGCCAGGTTGCTATCAACGAATCTCGGTGGATAACTGTTATGTTTTGATGTCCGGCTTACGATCACGTGACTTATACACCAATCAGAATACGGCTTATACGAATATTCGCACTATGACAAGACCAATGACGTTCAACCGGTCTGAGCAGTCTAGCGTCCTATTGGGTCCTACGTCCTTCTAACCCGTCCTCTTGAGTCCAGAACACAAAAGCAGCTTCTGAATCAACCAAATCGAACCAAATCATTTATTTCAGACATACTCGGTTTATATATCAATCAGGCAGACCACAACGTACCATAAAATAGAAAATAACATATGTACACAAATAGGCCAAAAAGTGGCTGTGAATGTGGGAGACAGTGATTAATAAACTGAGCATAATTTAGGGACAGTAAATCGTACAGTGATAAATTATAGGTCAAAGTGAAGCTTATGATAAGGGGAATATAAATATACATAATCTAACTATAAAATAATTACACCGTAAGAATATATAGATAATATTAGTCAATTAATGTCTCAGAAGTTACTCGTGATTTAATCTTCGCTCGGATATAACAATAACCATTTTTGATGAAGGTCTGTCTGACCTGTAAACAATTTTCTTCCTTACCCCTTGATTAGTACGTAACCCCATTTGTTATTTTCCTCGAATCCATTTGGTGATACAATCCTTTCTATCCTCCAATAGACATACATTTTCCATATAACTATATATACGAATGTACAGCTCAAGTAAATGATTTCGTCAAAAAGAAAATTTTCTTCACTGAATTCTCTTTTTCTTATTCGATATTTTTTTTTCAGTATTAATAGAATTATCGAAAAGAAACTAGCGTAAAATGAACAAAACTAACGAAAAGATGATGATAACACTAAACAAACGAAGAAGAGGAGGAGAAAAACATGTTAAACTTGATTTTAACAGTCAATTATTTTCTATTTTGATCACCGAGTTATAAATTATTGAGACAACAACAAAACATCAAACACAACCGACCATTCTAAGCTGATCTGAATTGAAAATAAACACTTTCTAATTAATTACGTAAATAATATAACCAACCAATTAACCAATTCTGTAAGTATAAGTGACCGTCCGTAATAGTTACATCAAACGGTATTTGTGATGACAAATATATATATATATATATATATATATATATATATATATATATATATATATATATATATATAATCACACAAGAAATAAGTACATTCCTTGAAAACTGGAATAATGAGCTGTTATTAACAAGTTCAATCCGAATACAACTGATAAAAATCAGAATAATAACGATAACTATACGAAAAATATTACTTTACTTATGTAGACAACAATTTATTTGTTTAATATAACATAGGAAACAATCCGAACGACACTAGAATCATGATAGAAAATTGGAAATTTACATAGTGCTTTTCTTCTAGCTGTAAAAATGAAATGTGTAAAGAACTAAGGAGAATTTCCCTATCAATACTAGACAACTATGGTATTTTCATCATTTGGAAATAGTGCGACCATTCCAAAGGAACATTGATCACTCAGCTAGCTCATTGATTGAAAGTTTATGGCATTATCAGAATACAATGACGGTTTCTGAAACGATAAGCAACATGTTAGTTGTTTTTAGAATGAGTGACGTATAAAATTGAATTCCTCCAATTGGGTATAATATTTAATCACATTTGTTTTTGAGTTCAATATTTTGCATATAAGAATGCAACTTTATTGTAGAAAAACCTATTACTCTGGCTAATAGTCATATTTTTGATCTCAAACAATTCAAGGGTTTACATCAATGATTCGGTCAACACTGAGCCACTTCATATCATTCACTGATCAGCATTCTTTCCTTTCATTTAATAATCAATAATCTATTTATTAAATTGTAAAATCCTACTGCATAAGTTTCCACCCAAACCCTACGCATAAACTCAGGATTAATGATTAGACGATTTCACCATACGCAAGCAATCCTTGGAGGGCATTGAATACTAAGAGCCTAAAGATTTTTTCAATTCCCACAGCAATAAAGTAATACATAGCGAACTGCTATACAGCATACTCAACCTTTGATGAGCAGAGAATATCGTGTAGTGGCAAAAGCTAAGAAAGTCTTATACAATTGTCCCTTGACTTTATCAACCACTGAAGAACTAGAGCAAATAAAACTTCTAAGATAAGTAGAGTGGTCAACATTATTTAACTATATTACTACCTATAGTCAGATTAAATATTAACAAAGACTAATCCTGAAGTAAACACAGATGGAAACCTGGAAGCACTGGACGGCCGATTCGTTTTATTATGGGACTCGGCAATGCGCGTCCACGACTCCACACGCAATAATCGAACCTAAGACCCTCGGTCTTGGATTCTTAGTCACAAAACTTAATACGAAATGTGTCATAGATCTATCAGTCAGTCAGTTACAAAGTAGAACCTGTACGTATATGCATTGGTTCAAGTTGCTATACTTCATTAGCACAGAGAGATGAAGATGTTAGGCCAAATCCCAGAATAGTAAAGATAATAACATTATCAGTGGTGACAGGAAAGATTAAGCATCCAAGATACGATGATTTTAAACCATGTTATTTAAAGTCTTTAATCATTTGTTACGATGATCACGCGGAAATCAACCAGGTTGTCTGTACCTAATAACATGGCTAGGTCTGATTCCATGTGGCTACATGGACAGGTGCCATGTTTTAGTTTGACCCTTCTCTAGCTTCCTTCCAACCTGCTCCTGCACCAAAAAACATCGCCCGCCGAGGTAGATGGTGGTTGTGCATAAGTAACATATGCCCCAACTACCTCAGTTGAAGAATTACTACCTCATTAATCGATTTCTCATTTTTACCTAGTACCCCATTCCTAATCCAGGCATAGTTTACTATATGGTCCCAAAATACAAAAGTAATGCTGTGTAGACACCTATGGTTGAATACCAGTAACCTACGTATATCATCAAAACAAATAACATAAAAAACAACTTTTGAAATATTATACGAACTAAAATTTAGATCAGAGAAATTACTAGAGAGTAAAACGATATAGTCTCATTTTAAATTATTTTATCAATAGCTCAAGCGTTTCTTAGTGTTGTTACTATTGTCCAATTCATATGTGCTGTAATTACAACTTAACTAATAAATAACACAGTAAATAAAATGAACGATTGGAAAGGAATAAGAAAAAGAATTAATAAGTATATTTAATGTCATATAAATTGTCATGTGAGTGTTTACAATATAATAAAAACAATAGACAAACAAATACAGGAAAGATAAGATCGAATAATAATAATAATAATAATAATAATAATAATAATAATAATAATAATACTGATAGGACAGAAGTAATTTAATCTCATGTGTGCTAATATAGGTTGATTAGAATTGATAAAATATCATATTTTATTGCATGTGATACAATACACAACTGACATGGATATTATCGGGCAATGTTGATGTAAACAGGAAAAAATGTTCTTAAAAGTTCATGATATTATTATTATCAATATTCATAAAAAATATATCCTAAGCCGAGGTACAATAAGAATT